GAGCTACATTTTGGGCGCGGCGCTCCTGGAGACGCTCAAGGTCATTTGCACGGCCGCGCAGCAGGGGAGGAAACAAAACTATGAAAGCAAAAACGCCCTCCCGGGTCGCGTAGTCTGCCGATTGTGCGTGCACGTTCGTTCTATGTTTGCAAACTCCGTATTCAACTCAAGAAAAGCACAATGCTCGGTATAAGGTGGCTAGCCCCATCACCACCGTGACTGTTTGTTTACGTTCGCTATTTTGGTATCCGTATCATACACATTCTCTCGCGTCTGCGGACTCGTGTCTGTTGTTTTAGGATAGAAAAAAAAAAAAATCCACTGGGGGCTTTATTTAAACGAAAGGGCATCATGCTGGCAGAAAAATATGGCAACGGAGCAGCACTGCGTGGCCTCGTAATCCCAGCCATTCGACGAGCTCGCAAAGTGTTTGAAAGATGACCCTGGCAAGGCGATGGCCGCGCACTTGTACATGCGCAGGCAGCGCGGCACTTAAAACGCTTTAGTCCAAAGCAAGAATTAATTACCACTGTGGACAGCGAAAAACCATCGTTGAACTAGTACACAGCATATATTTTTGTGTTGGCGTGCGTTTCATAAAATCTGTTTCATGAGGTACCGTATTTACTCGAAAATAGGTCGACCCCTATTTATTGAACCCACCGAGAATACAGTAAAACCTCGTTATAACAAAGTTGAAGGAGCGGTCGTAGTTATTTCGTTATAACCATTAGTTTGTTATAGCCAATGTCCATTTCTCCATACTATTAGCAAGCAAGGGGAATTATGATTGCTTTGTTATATCCATTAGTTTGTTATATCCCATTTTGTTATAACGAGGTTTTACTGTAAAAAAAATAATATGAATATAGGTCGACCTTTTTTCTTTTTTTTTTTTTTAGGAACAGGGGAAAGTTGGGGCAAAAGAAGGAAACAAACCTTTATTTACAGAACTCTCGGCTAAATCGCAGGGCGATGCCAAAAACTTAATCGTCGTCAGAACTTCCGGACATGTCATCGTTGTCCGAAGCTTCGTCAGCTTGGTAGGCATCCTCGTTAATTCGCAACAATACCTCACTGACACCGCTGTAAAGTGACGACAAGAAAGAAGGTGGAGATGGGCGAAGCGACGAAAACCAAATTCAAAGACGCGAGCAACGCCGCGAGTCGCTGTGAGCAACACGCAAGCCGCTGCCAGCAACAGACTAAAGCAACCTCCATTTTTTTGTTTTCCTTTGTGCGCATTTGCGAGGGAGAGGAATGGAGGGCAAGGTCCATCGCGCATCGTGTTCTTCTTCCTCCCCTTCCCCATTGCCCAGCGAGGGGAACGCTACAGGCGCGATGGCAAAACCCGACGCCCGAGGGATGTGGGCGAGCGGCGGCCACGGTGGGGGGGCTGTCAGTTGCTGCTATTTCGGTTGTTTTCGTGCACCAAAAGCTTTTTGATACAAGAAGCGACGCAGCTCTACGGCAACGCCGGCTCGGTGATTCGATAGCTCCATGCCCTCGGTAGGTTTGCAAAATTTGGTCGTGAATGTAGGTCGAAATTCTTTGGTCACGATTATAGGTCGACCCTTAATTTTTGACGACATTTCCGAGAAAAAAAAAAGTCGACTTGTATCCAAATAATTACGGTATGTAGTCAATCTTCATTATTTTTACTTGCACGGTAGAATCTGCAGCAATTTACTTTTTGATTATCTGAATGCTAAATCTGCCTGCGTGTTAGAATTGGGGGTGCGTTAGAATTGTGCAAACTGTTTCTTTAAATAAAGAGCTGTCAGAGTGAAACTAAAAATAACAGCTTCATTATCATTATTTACAACGTTTGAAGGTAAGTCCAGATATAACAAGCTACTGATAAATTTACCACTTTTCGCGGAGCTATCACATTCGTTACAAGTGGGTTTGACTGTATTCGAGAAGATAGTACAGAAGATAATGGATAGTGGGCCGCAAACGCAAGGAGAATTTCAGAAGAGTACACTTTCCACAAAGTTCCAAACGAACGACCGCTGCAAACAATTAGCCGCTTCTTTTTTTTCCACCTAAAGAATGGCGCTGCGTTTCTCCAGTACTTCGTTGCAGACTACAGCAAAATGCAATACCATTGCTCGTCTCTTACGAAGCATATGTTCTGCTGACCAAACATTGCTCTTGACCCTCCAGCATCCTGGAACATTGAGTGCAGTCGTACTCAATGGCCCAATAGCTAATAAATTCCCTTCCACCCCTTCCACACCCCCACTTCTCTTCCCACCGGACCTCCTGCATTGAGCAGGAGGAATGGCTTTCTCCAGACTCGCGCCCCTCGTGACTGAACTCAATTCCAAATATAACGCGAGGTGCGTTTTGGAGCACGTAATTCCGGAAAAAAATCTCTCGTTATATTCGTGCAAATACGGTATATAGCTGTTGTAGACAGCTAAATTCATGACATGGAAGATCTTTTTGTACCCTTTGGCATATCTCCGTATAATGGGAAACGGAGCCAGCTGCTGATCCTCACGGTCGACACCTCCCATACCTCTGTTGTAATTAAGCACAATCTGTGGTTTGAGGACTGGCTGGTTGTCTTTTCTTTGTTTTCCTGTGTCTGTCAGGTTTGTTGCATCATGGGAGGTTGAGAGCAAGTTTACAGGCTTCTTTTTCCTGCCATGTCACAGCCATCAGTCCACGGGAAAAGAGGCTGCGACACTCGCCCTTTTGAAGCTTGATTTCTTTCAACTCCTGTGGCATGTTCTTTCGATGAACCCGAACTGTCCCGACAGCGTTAGACCCCGCTTCCTTGATGTGAAGGAAGAGTAGCGGGGACAAGTATCAGTTGTCTGTATAGATGGTGTGACCATTTCCGAGACGGTCTCCCACAAGGTCGATCACAACAGCCTCGCTGCATAACATTCCAGCTGTTGCCGGAGTCTTCTCACCTTCGCCTGTGTAAATAGAAAAAGTTCAGGCAGTATCCACTCGACGACTCACACAGCTTGTAAAATTTGATCCCAAGCGCGCGCGCTTCGACGGATCGAATTAAATGTAGTACAGAGGACCACGGAACTTCATGAGGCTTTTGTCTACTGCCAGTCCCTCTCCTGGAAAATACGACTTGCCAAACACCTTCAAAACATAGTCCAGGACTGGACGCAGCTTTCGAAGTTTGTCGTCATCAACTGGCAGGCTGTTGTCGCACAGGTGAAGGTATCGTGAGAGCGCCCAAAACCGCTGTCTGGGCATCACGGAGGCGAAGAAGGGTGTGCTAATGACGCTTCTCTGAGGCCAGTAGGCTTTAATGCTGCTTTTTTCACTTGGCTCATGAGAATACAAAGAGCAAAGTACGCCTTCATCTCACCTGGAGTTGTTGGAAACTACGAAGGGTCCGGAGAGGAGGCCTGCTTCTCAAGTGCGCAGGCATTCGTATGACGTGCCAGCATCTGCCAAAAGTCTTTGCCTAACAACGCATTGAACATTTACAGGGCTGTAGGACTGTCCCTTACAGCTATCTGAATAGTTCTCTTTACACCTGGTGTTCCGGCGAAAGGGATCTTTGCAACTTTGTCGGCACTGTCGTCGTCTTCCCATTGCCAGGCGTCGAGTCTTGGAGCTTTTGATGGTGGTGGCGCGACGGGCTCCGAAGAATTAAGTGGTTCTTCTGAGTCCGAAGCCTCAGCATCGTTGTCACTGTCCGAATTACTGCTTTCGATGTCCATAATGAATTCTGGGTTGTCGCAGTCATCATCCTCATCACTGTCAAACACAACATCAAGAATTTCCTCACTCGTAAGACACCTCCTCTTCCGCGACGCCATGTTTTCATACACAAAAAAAGAACCGCAAACTTCTTCCTTTTCACTTCTAAATATTCACAAAATAATCACGCATGTGGCACCATCTGGTGTCAAAAGTACTAATCAAAATACCTACAGCCTGTAAAGTGTCGCCATCTGTCATTATATTTTGGAAACAAATTGTTTTGCGGAGGACGGCGATTCGCCGTTTTATTGCACTTTGGCCCTTTCTCTTGCGGACGGCGAATCGCCGTCTTTGGAAGCGAATAGTTTAATGTCCTTAGGGTGCAAAACACGAACACATTTCCTCCACAATCCTACTCTTGCACCGTTCGATGGAACTCCCCCCACCTGCCACATTTCCTGGTTAAAGGAGAGTGTACAGTGGACCCTCGGTAATTTGAACCTTATGGGGACCAAAGCTTTGTTTGAATAATGCAAAGTTTGAATTACCGGGAGTTTTCTTCCTAAAAACACATAGGACGGGACCTACATGTTAGTTTGAATTATCCGTGAGTTTGAATTAACGAGATTCCACTGTACTGGGATTCCAAGCTGCATAAATTATGATGTATTACGCGTAATGGGATTGCTGTATTTTTTTTTTTTTTTTTTGGCTACCATCTTAAATTTTGGTTTGATCCTTGTGTGCATGCGCTCAACTGTAGTACTCTCCCACTCCCGGTACTCTCGCCTCTAGTCCCCAACAAGACGGCAATGGTAGGCTTCCAGTTATCCCTTCTTCGGTGCGAGCTCCCTACCTTGGACAGCACTTGTGCGTCTCGTGGGCGAGCATGCATGTGCAGCCAAAGCACAATGGATGGCAACGAGCGCACGCTGGAGGCCGAGCATTCGAAAGAGGCTCTTCGCCATTCTTGTCTTGCGAGCGACCGTTGAAAGCACCGTAGGCATTGTCTAAGCGTTCTGAGGTCTCCTCCCGTAGCCGTGCTCTCAGGTACCATCCCAAGCAGCACGTATTTTGGCCAAGCATTGGCCAATGGCCGGTGATGGTCTTTTGGCCAATGGCCAAAGAGTGGCCATTCGTCAGCCAACGGTTGGCCGACGGCTGATGGCCAGAGAAGGGCCAGTCGTTGGCCATTGGCTGGCCACTTTCTGGCCACTGGTCAAAGGATCATGGCCAGCCATTGGCCAATGATCGGCCAAATCTGTGCTGCTTGGAGTCTGTCCTCCCCTCACAGTCGACGTCCCCTCCCTCAGGTCCCTGTGGTGGCCCCGCCCCCAAGGGGCTCCCGCCTCGCGGTGGGTGCGTCCAGCCCGACCAAGCCGCCCCTGCTCAAGACCAAGAATGTGTCCGGACTGGTGACGCACAGTGCGCCCCCCAGCGGGGGCCCCAGCCCGGAGGGGTCCCGGGAGGCCGACTCGGACGACGAGGCTGGGCAACGGGTGGCAGTGTCCGCTGCCTCGGCCGCGTCCCGTCGGGCCTACCGCCCAGAGCGGCGCCACCACACGGCGGACTCGTTCGAGCACCTGAAGAACCGGCGGGACCCCTCGATCCACAAGCGCCTCTCGTGGAACCTGGGCCAGCAGCAGCAGCAGCAGTCGGCGGAGGCGCCGCTGCGGGACCGCCGGGTCTCCAAGTGCCTGAGCAGCGAGTCGGTGTACAGCTCGAGCGGCGTGAGCAGCACGGGCTCGCTGCTGCTCAGCAGCGTGGGCAGCAGCGAAGAGGAGGGCCGCCGCACCCTGCTGCTCGGCAGGGAGGCCGTGCACTTGGACGTCAGCGAGGTCAGGGATGGCATCTCGTCCGTGCAGATCGTGGCGGCGGACGGCGGGCGGGCCCCGGGCAAGCCCTCTCGGGCCGACCTACAGAGGATGAAGGAGTTTCTCCTCACCAGCTGCTCCGTCGAGGCCTCGTGAGTTCCTTTGAGCTCTTGTTAATGCTCTGTTAAGGAGCTCGTACCTGTCCGTCGTTCTCCTTTTTGAGATTTGCTTTCATTTTATGGTGACGGCTGTTAGGGGCCGGACATACGGACATGGCTAGCCCTTAAAGGGCAACTCTGGCCAAAACTCGAAATGAAATAAATTACTGGTATCGCTGTAGTGACACAAAATACGACCCCAGCCAAAATATTACGTCCGAGGGACACCGCATTCTCAACTAATGACGTTAATAAAAATGCAACCCGCCGCGAGCCGCTGCTCCTTAACGGGCGGCCAGCGGGTTGCCGATCGCTAAAGCAACATCGGGCCATGACGTCCCCATCGTTCTCTTTTTTTTTTTCCTCCGGTCCGGGCGTTGCGCGGAGTGCACTTCTCTGAGGCGCTACCACTGCTACTTCGGCTTGTGATTGGCGTATTTAGCCGTTGCTTTTATCTGTAACCCGTGTAGCTTCGGTATAGCCTTTTGTTTATTTGCTTGTGAGGACTCCAAGACTCGTTTTAGCGAGCAACTCGGTGCGCCCAAGACTGCTCAGCTGTCTTTCGAAAGATGCCGAGTACAACTGTAGCGCTGTGGGCTGCTCACACAACCCGCTGCGCATCCCGGATGTGCTTTTTCACAAGTTTCCAACGGACCGGAAATTGGAGAAGGTCTGGGTGAACGCTGTTCAACGAGTGGACTTTGGACTTCGGTTTTTACCCGCCCGAGGAAAAAAGAACGAAAAAACAGACGTGTACAGCCCAGCTCACGTGTGTTCGGGTGCCGTGGGGCCCGCGCCAGAGAGCCTCAAAGCTCCGTGTCTGGAACTGACCCGCAGCGGGAAAGCGAGGGCCCCCAGTTCTGTACGTCAGGCAGCGCGGCGTAGAGCAACGCCGCTCTGCCTGCTTGCTAGGCCTAAATTGCCGATGACAATTTAGGCCTAGCGACGAGTACGGAAAACCGTACGCACGGCGACAGACGCCGAGTACGGCACTGAACGAGTTCACTCGTTTTCCAGTCGCTAGCTTCTGGGTATACAAGCGAAGAGTACGGCATAGCGCACGCACGGCGGCGGCCACCGATACGGCACCGAAGGAGTTCACGGGTTTTCCAGTTGCTAGCTTTTGGGTATACGCACTAACTCTTGCTACATATGCTGGATAACTACCACGTATACAGAATTAAAATAAAGTCAGCTTACCTCCTATCTTTAGACGGCTAGCGCAATAAAGTTAAGAGCCGTTCAGCCTGCGTACTCGTTGCACGAGAACGATCCTGATGTCACGTTCACATTGCGGCTGATTTCCAGTGTTGCCGGGGCCTCGAGCGGCTAGTTTCGGTTTTGCTGGTCACGCCCCAAGCAAAGCTTTGAGGTGTCATATCTTTAAAACTATGCACAATAACGAGAAAAAAATTGCACCTTGCAATTCAGGGACGCTGACTGCACTAAAACTGTCGTAATCCCAAAATCGAAAGTATGGACCGGAGTTGCCCTTTAAGGAGGAGCTTTGCCCCTAAAAGTAGAACAAAGAAAAACGCCTTCAAATTCCTTTACCTTTCCTTTAGCATCAATGGACCGCAAATAATTTATAAAAAAAATAACTATGCAGTGTAAACAAATGAAACTTTCTGGGAATACTCTCTAGATGTTGGCAGATTTAAATACCTATAGCATTTTTCAAGATCAACTTCTTTTACAGAAATTTATTTTTTCCTTGGTGGTGTCCCCCCTTATCACAGGATTGCTATTTTTTTCTTGAACATAATTGATAGTTTTTGTGGGCATCGGTAGTATCTATAGGCAGGAGCCAACTATCGATAGTTGACTATGGTAGTGCTATTGATACTCCACTATCGATAGTTCTGAAACAGCTATCCATAGTATTGATAGTCAATTTATTGATGGTTTTGGATGGTTACTGGGCAGGCTTGATGATGCACTAGCCTTCAGAGGTACTCAGGTTTTTGCAATCGCCCACTCTTTTTGCCTTATCTTCCTGCGATGCAAATTATACGACAACCGCCATCAGTGGTGTCATCTGGTACATAATTAACTTGCAACTTGAAGTGTCGAATCCATAACTAGACTGCCTCATTGTTACTGCCTGCATGCCAGCGACTAACTTTCAGGCATTTTAAATTAACGAAATTTGCAGTTACAGTATAGACCACTTACAACGTAACCGCTTATAGTGCAGGACCAGGTATAACGCGGCTTTTTTAAACCACCGGTTCACCTCCCATAGAACTCCATGTAATTACATACCGCTTAAAATGCAGGAGCGCGAAGGGAAATACCGGTTATAGTGCGGTTTCTGGAACAGCCCGCCAACCGCGCCGACCGACCGGCGCAGCGAGCACGCTTCCCTGTGCGACACTAGATAACGGCGCTAGCCGCAAGCGGCACTCGCGGGGCAAGGAGGTTGCTCGAAGAAGCGGGGAGGAGCAAAGAGAGGCTTCGGTCGCCATAGCGACGGAGGGACGCACGCATGTGTCATTCACGTGCGTGTGTCCCTCCGCTGCGTTGGAAACAACCGCAACGACAGACCAATTGCAGGTCGAAGAGACGTGTTTGCGCGCGTTGCATGCCGGTCGCATTCCGGCTTCTTCTATCCGCAAACATGGCGTCGGTTGTGATCATGGAGAATGGAAGGGTAGGAGAGGGCATGACGTCAGTTGTGTAGCCTCCACAAGCCATGGTCCCTTGAAGCCTCGCCTCTTTCTCATTTTCTTCCCTACTCTCCTCACTTATCAGCCCAACATGATCACATCATGTTACCGTAGCTAGCCTTCGTCTAGCCTTCGATCTGATAAAACCTACCGGATGGAGCGCGCGTAAGCCTGCAAAGAATCCTCCTACAATCAACCATCCATCTCACACGTGACATGTCACGCGCACCAATCGCCAGAGAGATCTGCGGTCACGCTGGGCACAATATCATTCAAACTTTTTATGAGTAGGCTTCACCAATATTGCAACGTGCCCCCTCCTAGTACTTCTAACCTCCTTGGTTGTGATCGTCGTCGTAGACGGCGTGGCGGAAGCTCATCGTTCCGCGTAGAAGCGCTATCCTTGACTGAATTTTCGTTGTGTGTCACTATGATAACCCAGCACGTACTAGAAGGGAAGATCCACCTACTCGTCCGGCGATGTTGTGGCGGCACTCTCAAGACGGCAGAAACGCCCGTGTCGTCGTGTTTGTTTACTTCGACTACAGTAGTGCTTTCTAACCCTTTGTGTTTTCGAACATCGCCCGGATATCTTATTTGGAGCATTTCATGCCTGCACTCAAGTTGAAGGTATTACTGGCATGTACCGTATAAAGGATGCAAATTTTCACGCATTTCATCACCGGAGAAAAGTGATTAGGGTTAGCAAACCTGAACGCTCGCAACGTCCATCCGCAACCCGCGACGCCGTTAAAAGGCTGCGCCAGGCAAAAGTCACTCATTTTTTTCAAAATGTGTGACACACTTGAGAGAGAAGTGTACTAGCCTGGTGAAGTAAAGACTTTCCTCAAACTAAGCTTTATTTTTTGTCTAATATAAAAGAAATTGTTTTACAAAGGTAAGTTGTCTCATGGCATGTATTTTGGCCAGAAAAATTTGTTTTGGTTATAGCGCGGTACCGCTTATAGTGCGGATTTTCGCGACTCCCGCAACATACGTTGTATGCCGTCTACACTGTACCTCTTTTTCTTATTTATTTTTTTTGGGGGGGGCAGGGAGGGGGTGGTTTGATGTTGAAGTTGGGTTGACTGTCAAATTTATTTTAATACTTTGAGTTCACGAGGGAATTGAGCCCTATGCATAACTGCAGGGAATCGGTATTTTTTGGTTGTTTCAGGAATTTTGTGGTCTGATAAAAGCAAGTTGTAATCGTTTATTCGATTTACATTAGAAAATATTCCTATTAGCATACTCCTATCAAATTTACCGCACTTATTTTCTCCGTATTGCATTCAACTCGAAACAGAATCACAAATATTTCGTGGTTACCTTCTGTTCGATTTGCATCGCATTCCAATTGTGTAAAACCAGTTAATAATCTCAGTTTGGATGCTCCCCTGCCCGTACTAAACACCGTTTTGTCAACATTCTCGATCACTGCAGGGAAGTCTGACAGTGAGCCCCATGGACTACACATGCACAGCAGAGCCATTGCCCGCCTGTAGGCGACACGGTGTGCAGCCTTGCTTTCTGCAGAGGACTACACCCGTTTTGGGACAAGGGAGGGAGGTCACGCCAGTTGCACATATCTGCCGCATCCTCGAAGACAGACACTGACCACAGCATCCACTCTTTCACCGAGGGGCAGCGTACGGCGGAGAGCCTCCAGAGTCCCTGACGACTCCTTGACCTCACTGGCCTCAAGGCCTTGTCTGTAAGGCCTCGTGTGTAAGGGCCTCGTTTGTAAGGCATCATCTGTAAGGCCTAATTCGTAAGGCCTCGTTTGTAAGGCATTGTTTGTGGGGTCTGACTTATAAGGCCTTGTGGGTAAGGCCTTGTCTGTAAAGTTTCGTCTGTGCCGTTCTGGCGTGCACGGTCCTGCACCGTCGGCGCAGGACGCTCCCAGCCACGGGGTTCATGTGCGGGTTCGGTCTTGCAGGTCTCTCCCATCTATGCACGCCGTGCACGACCACACGCTTTGCACGGTAAAGTCTCGCCCGCGGTGAGTGGTTCCGCCAAATGGACAAGCGACTGGGCCCCCAAGGCGTTGGGTAGCACCGATTACCGTGGGCAAGGGCATCGTTTCTCTTGTACCGGCAGCCTAGGGAAAGTTTAGCGTTGCGCGGTAGTTTTTGTTCCACACATTTTTAGGCAGTTGACGTGCGACTCGTTGTCGGGATCTGGACATGGTAGCGGTCCGATTGGTGCTATATTTTTTTCATTCTGAACTGCCATTACAGTGACACGGGGTTTGTTAGCTCCAGTGTTTTCAAAATTGCAGCCCCAAAATATATCTTATTTTGCGGCCGTTTTTAAGCCGTGGTGCACTTTAAAGAATTCCAGTTCGAGCGGACACGCGTTAAAGGGGTTTAAGATGGTTGTTCTCGCACCGCGCGTAGATCAAGTGAGATGTATTTTTGCCCGCGGGAACGGCGTCTCGCATTCCTGTGATGCACTTTATAGATTCGGCACTCCTCGTGCAACCTGTACATGCTCCACTTTGTACTTGTGGGTGCTCTCCCCTTTGTCCGCACCTCAACATACTATGCAGTCAACCAAGGCGAGATTGGCCTTGTGTGGGCGAGGTATTCCAGCGATGTACAGACTACGTCTACATTTGCCCTTTCGGTTTTGTTTCTATTAATTTACGTGCAGGAGAGACATGCAGCAGTTGTAGTGCCAAACCAGTTAAAAAGGCTATGCATTGGGACGTTGTTAAACTCGGCATTGGTGCTTACGATCCTTTCACATCTTACTTCGACATTCGAACTTCCCCCGCGTTATTTTTTTGTGACCGAACCATCGGGCTCCGACATTACGGACACGCTTTAGGTCGGAGAACGATTCTTTCTCGCCACTTGGCACGGAGAAACTTTTACAGGCTGTGATACAGATTAGTTGTGACTGCACTGACAATAGCGGCAATGGCAGGCAAAAGCGATGATGGCGCGCAGTCTTTTTGTATAGGTGCCATCGTCGGTTTCACCCTGCGAAGCATAGTGGCGTTTTGTAGTTGTGTCAACTTTTAGAATTAACGTCCTCGGCAGTTGCTCGTCAACTTGTTATAATGAACAAAGGTTCTTAAAGCACTTGACCGTGTACAAATTAGAAAGACTTTTGCCCTCCCCGTAAATGGCCATTTTCGGCGAGCCAGTTCCTTCGGCGGGCTTCACTGTGCGATGTCTGCATTCCGGAGGCAATCGGATTGAGCCTGGATTTTTTTAGATACCTTCAGTGTTTGCACAGTCCAGTAGGGTTGCACTATTTCAGCCTCCGACGCGGCAATTCTTCCTCGCCGAGCTTGCGCGGTGCAAGACGCCTGGCTCGCAGAGTAGTCCGGACGGGGCTTCTTCGCCCCTGACGGTGCGGTCATCTCCGCGACGTCGACCTTAGGGTTGGCACTGGCAATATCTCGGCACGAAGCCATCGCTCGTATGGACCACGGTATTTTCAGTCTCGGCACGGTCCGCGGAGAAGATCGGCGTGCAGTTTTTAATCGTGCGGAGCGTTTCCCTCGACCGTGTTTGTCCCCTCTCGAATCAAAGTAGACGTTTGGTCTGGTTGTTTTAGGACCAGGAGCGTAACAAAGATCGTGAAAAGACGAGAAACATGCACTTCTTGCCTCTTGTCTTTTTTGTTTCTTGCATTTAGCTTGTCTTTTTTCTTTTTTTGCTGGTGCGTGACAGTTGTGTTTTGAGAATTCCCTTTGAGAATGTGTTGCACCACTGTATTTGTGTACCTATTTGAGCAGATGTCAGGAATATAGGATTAGGGTAGCTCAAGGGTGGCCAGGCTGACCCGGCCTAAAAGCCGCAAACAAAACGACGAAACTTCCAAGAGCTGTGGTGGGGGGGGGTACAACTCGAACTACTTTTATTCTATCAGAGTCAAAAGCAATACAACTGTATGTGGGGTAGCTCGTAGCACAAAACTACCAAACCACAACCTGTCTTTCAATTTAAAACTCGTTCCTTTTCTCTTTTTGAGTACGAGTTTGTGTGACCGGGAGGGAGGCGGGGGAGTGTGTGTGTGTGTGTGGTGGGGTTAGGGGAGGAAGCCGCGAGCCGCACTTTAACACGCGAAAAGCCGAATGTGGCTCGCGAGCCCCAGCTTGGCCACCCCTGGGGTAGCTGTTATGTCACATGAGGCTCGAAGGTGTTTGTCAGGTGTGTCCAAGATCATTGTCCAAACAGCGTGAAAAACCGAGGACGAAAAAAGAGCCAAGAGCGTGCAACGACCGACAACTAAAGCCTTGTTTGGAAAAACGTGCTACAAATGAAATTTTGTTTCGTAGAGGATCTCCATTATGTACGGGTGACTTAATTTGACATACTATGCAGACGGCCCGAAAATTTCTAACACCTCCGTGGTATATCGGGTGGCTGCCCACCCAGAATTCCAGAGATAATGTTCCAACATTGCGCTTGATCGTTTGAGCCAGCAAACCCGAGATTAAGACGTCAGAGGTTGAGCACCGGAAACTAGATGAAAGACATGACTCACTTGAAGTTCCAATCACTTTATTGTGATTTTTTTAATGGTTTTATTTTTCTCGAATTTGAAGGTTCCTTTTGGCTCGAACCCCAAGTTTATACGCACATTTTTTTGCTGTTTAAAGCGTATGCACCCTCGCACATTGTCGTTGGCTTGATGCCTCTTGTTCGACGTACCGAAGACAAGTTTCGCCCTTTTTCGGCTGGCTCAGTATGGTAGTACACGCCATTAAACAGATGCACGAGCAGGTCCTATGTTAGAAGTGGGCGTAGTGTTCAGCCAGCACCGACTGGCCCGTCGGGTAGTGACGACCCTCGATAGTGTCGGCCATGATTGTACCGTGTTCTCGTCAATGCCTTTGCTTTGCTGCCACTGTGTGTGCCACAGGGTGTGAAGGCACCTCGTGTGATGTGAGGGTTGCTGTTCCTGTCAAAGTTACTAGCCAAAGTACCCAGTGTGTATGAGAGGGCACCTGCCTCTCTAGGAAGATGCTTCTGATGGTGATGATGATGGAAGCAAACCATAGGCAGGGGTCAGATTCTAGTTTTAAAGGCATGTGAATCATTTTCTCATGCATGTACATACCTATAAATAAGAAAAGTTATATGTATACAGTTACATTGGAAGCTCAGGCAGATCCAACTGCCGCTTCTGTACAGCATAATTAGATATTTTATTTTCACGCACACATCATAATTTTTTTATCATAATTTATTGCAGTGAAACACAGAGTATGACGAGCGGCTCTCTACTGCAGACGGTGTTAGCGAAGAGGGCGTTTCCCGACGAATGTGCTAGCACACCTTCCTATCTGAACATTCACAGGAAAGTTGGTTCCCGCTGACTGTTAATGTGTAGGAAGCTCGGTTCGACTATTAGTACAAAAGCTAATAAACAATAAAACTGTTTCCCGTAAATTTCGTCTTTGTGCCGTCTGTTTTCTCCAAGACCGCAGCAGCAAGGCCACGCTTCCAGTCACGGTTATTGGGCGGACATCCAATGCACACAAAAACCGTTGGTACGATTATTAAACGGTGTACTGTACTCTTTTGCACGATAACTTGGCAAACCGTTGGAGGCTACGGCTCTTGTGACCCAATAAGAGCGTCGTAACGAGGCGCATGATACCGGGTCACAGGAGCGTGCGTATCGCTGCACTGGGAAACTGACCATCATCTGCCGGCACAGACCGTCCGTTGCAAAACCAATTAACTTCGGACGAACGTCCACCAACGCAGCATTGCCGTCTTTCAGAGTAGCGAGTTCTTCGGGAAGAAATCGCGAGATAACTGTACACCCAATTTACCCGCGAATCTGTGGCAGGTCTAGGGCAATGTTTTGAGTGGAAACGGTCAATGACACAGATGCAATCGCCAACAGTCACGGCTCTACAAGAATAAAAAAAAATGGGAGCAGATACGGATGTGGCGTGTCTTTTTTTGTTTTGGATATAATTAAAACTTACATTTGTCAATATTTGTTCCTTATATTTTATATTTTTTCAATAAAGATGGAATTGCGCCAGTTTCGTTGCTGCTAAGAGAAAAAAAAACCTAGGACTACTTTGTTGTGGACGGCGCCAATAAAGTGGCAGTAACGAGGCCTCAGTGGCCTCTACCATGGAATGTTATTACGCGACTTGCTCCGACGCTCTTAATGGGTCACGAAGGCCGTGGCCTCTGCAGTTCGCCGAGTTACCATGGACGGAAAAGGTAAATGGCAGAACATTCCTCTTCTACCTTCTGCCTCCTACTGCCCTGACTGCGCATGCACACCCGAGGTGCAGGAGATGCTAAAGAGATACCAAAGGTAGAACGCGCACGCTGGAGGGCGGTCCAACTGAAAGGTTTTTTTTGCCATCTTCATCCTCTCGGTGATATAGGGCGGTTCCACAAAACGTCTCTTCCCATCCAGCAGGCTGTATTCTGCCATGTTAATGAAGAGCATCGATTACTTTCGCCATTTATTTACACGCAGACACGTTGCTTTTGGGGTTGGAAAAAACGCCGGAAGACGTCGAGTGCCTCCATCGACGACGGGACTCTGCAAGTATGTTTGGGGACATATCGGGGTCACACAGGTCCAAGTTTATTCCAATTCGTTTCCATTCAGGCTCGCTCGGGCATGGAGCTGGGCGGAGATACTCAAAAAGTAGTCTGGAATACATGCACTGATATATGCGTATTTTAAGGCCAAAATACAGATACTGAGACACATTTTTTTTGTGTAATCTGATATTTCTAAAATGCTTCTGCAAAAGTGGCAAAAAAAATTTTTTTTAAATCTTGAAATACAGGTAGATACGGAAGTACTTTATTTTTTTTTTTTTCCTTCACCCGAGGAACAGGTGATTGTGGCAAATCAAAATCGCAGTCCTCGTGTTTTGGCGAGTGTTTGCGGTATACGCTCCGTGCGGGAACTATAGGGGGCGCTTTGAAAAACGCGTGTAGCGCCGCTAGCGGAGGGGCTGGCGTTCGACAGTGAGGCGCGCTCAGCAGCCTGCGGCGCCTTTTCGCGTGCAAAGCTGTGGCGCCGGAAGCGCGCACGGACGGAACTTCTGCTTTTTGAGCCGATAAGTTGAGGGTGACGTTGCAGAAGTGCTGGGACAGATTTAAGAAGGGCATTTAGCTGTTCTCCGCTTCTTATATATTGACTCCGAGTCGTTATTAGTGGTAATTTCTTTAGTTGCGGTCGAAAAAAGGGTTTCAGCAATTTTCCGAAAAGCAAGACGGCCGCTACCATAATTGTTCTCAGTGGGAAATTTGTTTCGCTCGTCGCTGTAAACGTAGGACTGCTGGGACGATGATATTTGAAGGCGAGTGAGATGTTCACTAAGTTTGTGCACTAAGTGGGCCACGTTTTATTAAGACAGCAGGTGTGAAAGTTATGGTCCTAACGAATAAAGGAATTAAGCTGTCAGGAATATCCAATATTGGATCCAAAATGTTGTGTTATAACCGGGCTGTGCGAAGTGCAGATTTGGACATACAGGTTCTTGGACATGACCGTAACTTGACACAACAGTTATAATACCAAAAATAGGTGGCTTAGGGAAACCAGGCAGAAATTTGGTTTGGGCAGCGTAACTGAATGGGAAACGGTTTTGACCGTGAAAGGGCTGTGAAGAGAATACCACTCATCGTGGGAGATGGACTTTACAGGTAGGAAGGGACTAGTGCACTGTACTTCCAATTGAAACAACTTTACGAAAGGTGGCTTCAAAGCTGAGAAAACCAAGTTGCAGGCCAACACACTGTTTGGCCTACAAAGGCTTTTGCGGTCAGCTGATGTGTATGTAGTAATCTGGTTGCGCAAGGTGCTGATTTTCGGCACACAGGTACTTGGACAACCGTAACTTGACAAAACACTTATTATACCTAAAAGAGGTAGCATAGTTGAACCAGGTGGAAATATTTTTGGGCGGCATAACTAAATGGGAACCGGTTTTGACCGTCAAAGGCTGTCAAGAGAATACCATTCACCATGGCCGGGAGGTGCACACTTCACAGGTAGGAAGGGACCAGTGGACGGTACTCCCAGTTCGAACAACTTTGCGATAGGTGGCTCTAAAGCGGAGAAAAAAAAATGCTGTCTAGAAGACTCGGGGTGTCTGCGTTTCCACATCCAAAAGGAGTCGGATCAAAAAAAGAAAGCACACCACATAAACTTCCATACTCAAACATCGATTGTCCATTGATTCCAAGTTTCATTGTAGTTTTCCTTAGATTCAAATTTGTCTCTTTTTGTACCATTCGAATCTTTCTTCATGAAGTACAGACTGCGTGCCATAATGGTCCGGAAGGAAATATCAACACGTATGATGGGGACGAAACTTCCTTGGAGGGCATTCCTTCAACGAAATTCACACTGCATACCCGCGAATGTGGGACGGCATTTTAGTTTGATCTGAGATATATAAGCGTTACTGGTATGAAAACAAACGCAGAGTGCAGGGCGGCAGTGTAGAATATGTCGGCCGTGCCGACACAGTGGCAGACATGATCGGGAGACCAAACTTCTCGCGTCGTACGGCACGGGTCCATCGTTGTCGCTGTCCCACAAAACATTGGCAAGGTGAAAAACTGTGAAACTTTGTCCCCACGAAATACGACGCATAACTATCGGAGCACTTAACGACGCAGCAGTTCATGCTGTCAAGCCAGCGCAACCGCACCGCTCAGACTTCAATGCGTACCAATATTCGCTGGGGCTCTCCACGACCACGTGGGTGACGTGGGGCTCTCACCCTCTCGCTGCCTACCTTCGGTAACGGCCGTGCGGCGGCGCGCCGGTCGCGCCGCACGGAGTGTATTTCGTTTCAGGTTTGCTCTCTGTAGAGGGGTCAAGTGGCGTGTATATGTTATTATAAAATATGGAACCTTACGCTCCAAAAAGGGGATTTCAGATAATTTTAGAAACCCAACAGTTCATTTTCGATTTCGTCAATAGATGCACCGTGTGATTGACCGTTCCCATTCAAAACATTCTGATACAAGTGAGTTACTTATGCATTTTTTCAAATGTATCTCTGTACAAAAATACAGATACCCCAAAGTATCTCTAAGATACTATTGCTATACTGCCCAGCCCTGCCCGAGTGGCATCCAAGAACTCGCGAGGACCAGGTTAAGCTTCCTCGTGTCGCCGACCATTCTGGCCAGTGGCATACACCGGGAAGGAGGGGCGGGGGTTGACAAGGTCGGTGCTTAGACCAGTGGTTCTCGAATGGGGGTCCGCAAAGCCCTGCCTCATGAGTCAAGCCCAGCAATAAAAGTTGTATTTTTTTCAGATTGAGAAGAAACGTTCATCGTCGATGTTGCGAAATCCTTGAAGATCTCCCGCTGCCTGCGGGAATCGAACCTGGGTCCACTGCGTGCAAAGCGATGTTACCACTGAGCTATACCACGTACCCACTGCACGCACTTTCTAGAGAAAAAAACAAAAACGATACATTTTTGTGTTACTCTACAGTACAAAGATAAAGTCACTGTGGTAGAAAAAAAAAAAAAGAATGGTGTGTGGGTATGTTTTTACAGCCTGAACTTAGTCTTCCTGAACTTAGTCTTCCTGAATGGGCAACTTGTCTCTCAGTTGTAGATGAGTAATTTAGCCAGTGCAGTACAACTCCTAGCCCGATACGATCGCACGCTGGTATGATGCTCATCTAGATCGAAAGGGGCGATGGTGGGGATTGAACCAAGGATCCCTGAATTCGGCAGAGCGTGCTTTCGCTCCACGTGCTCCGAGCTGGTGTGCGTTAGCCCACTCGGCCACCGATCCCCCCTGGCAGCAATAGCTGTGACACGTCGCAGCGAAATTGTTGGGCATCGATGTTGCGTTCACGCACTGTGGGGTGCATGAACAAAAGCACCTGTAACAAAATAGGCATCTGACTATTTTGCTTTGAAGGCTTTTGTTTCTTCATATTCCACCCTGGCAAAAATTACAGTAGAGGATCCTATCTGTATAAGATTATGGTCCAGTAAACTTATAGACCAATCATAACTGATAGGTGGGAGCTACTGGTCTATTAGAATCCTATTGGTGTATTGGCCCAATTGATTTATTGGTACTATAGAGGCATGTTGGTGTATCGGTTCATTGGAATGTCCCAATACACCAATAGGCATTTACTGAAACAGGTCTTGGACTGGTGTGCTGGTCGTGGCTTAATTTGTAGTTCCTCGATTTCCATTGGATGACGAATGAATTGGAGTTTTCTGGCGCAGCAGCAACATAGGCCATAGTGCGCCAAACACAGGGTAAGCCATTGAATGACAACAGTTGTGGCGTGCCATACACTGCCGTGATCGTGGCCATCCCACGTAGCACGAGAACGTTCTGAGAACATTCCGGGAATGTTCAAAAGAACATAGGCAACATTCTTGGAATGTTGCAACTTTACGTAAAAACGTTC